ACTTTGAATGCCAACTGAAACTTGTCGGCGTGATGAGCCTGTTGTTGGTGTCGAGTGCATGCTCGCATCATGTGAGGGCACGTTCCATGGTACACGACGCACACGCACACGCACACGCACACGCACACGCACACGCACACGCACACGCACACGCACACGCACACGCACACGTACACGCACACGCACACGCACACGCACACGCACACGCACACGCACACGCACACGCACACGCACACGCACACGCACACGCACACGCACACGCACACGCACACGCACACGCACACGCACACGCACACACACACACGCACACACACGCACACTTGGTACAGTACGTGTCATGCCACTGAACACATACCCCTCCACCTCTCCACCGTTCCCTCTCCATACTCCACACCTCCACCCTCCACGATCTAACGCACCTGAGCGGCTGCGAGGCGTCGCAGCACAGCCTTTCCGACCGTGCCACAGCCAAACAGCACCACACCAACAGTTCGCACACCACTCATTTCCCTCGACCAAGAGAAACCGCAAAACGACTGAATTCAGACTTGTTGACTTTGACACGAAAAGCTATTGAAAATATCAACGAGACTGCCTGCAAGGAAAAACGCCACCCCAAACAAGACGAAGAAGAAGCAACGCCCATATCCTCTGCTGCTTCTGCTTGCGTCGTTGCGAAGAAGCCGGTGGTGCATTTTGGATCAATCACCAGCGACACACGCGACACCCACACGCACCCACCAGCCAGCCAGCTATGGACGTGGATGATGGCGGGCCGCCAAGCCCGGAGAAGGTGCACTTTGCTGTGTGCCTTTCGGTTTCTCGGCTGGCTGTGTGTATGGCACATGTGCGCGCGCAAGTGATATGATTCTATGGTTGCTGTGTCACTTGTTGTTGGGCACTGCCGCCAAGATGCATGTGGTATGTGACGGACAGTGTCCTATTTTCCTCGCCTGTCCTTCCCCAAACTCACAGCCTCCTTCCTCCCCTCGCCCTCCTGCCTTCACTCTCGCGCACAAATGCCACAGGTTGAGCAGTTCTTCAATGATTTGGAGCTGAGAGAGGACCAGGGCGACCTGGACCTCCTTGTTGTCGCTGAGCAGTGAGTTTCTCCGATGTGCAGTGAATAGGCCCAGTGCTTGTATCTGTCCTGTGCTGTGCTGTGCGCTGTGCCGTGTGCGAGCATCCATCACTTTCCTTCGCTCTCTGATGCGCTCACATTGCTGCGCTGCACGAATAACCACAGGCGTGGTTTGCTCAACGACACGTGTCGCACATTGCTGAGTGAGGCACGCCGGCGTGGCTTGCTCCCACCAAAACCGGACTCAGAGGTGCGAACTCACTCAACCTTGCGAGAACATCCACACATGTGTCTTAGGATCGCGAACTGACATGCTCTTCTGGTGGTGTGCATTTCTATTCCAGGTCATCTTGGAGACTTATGATGTGCAGTACCTTGGCGCAAGTGTTATCGAAGGTGTGTGTCTGCTGATGCATACCTATTGGCCTGGAGCATCATCCCTCGTGCGCTCTTTGTGGCACCCCCCCCCCCACACACACACCCACACGCACACACACACACACACACGCATGCACACACACACACATACACACACATACACACGCACACACACACACGCATGCAAACACATACATACGCACGCACTCTCTCCTCTGAACTGGATCGTTAAGGCGCGGACACGGAGAAAGGCATTGAGCCTCCCTCCATTTCCCATGCCGTGGGGAGAATCGCCAAGAACCCGCGCGTGTCCTTTCAGACGCCGCTGCTGATGGAAGTGCACACTGGCGAGATCAAGGTTTACGACTTGACAGACTCGTCTGGTCGCCGTGAATCCCTCGGCACGCGCACGCTTCGCAGATTGAAGAGTGTCACACTCCGTCGCATGACGGGCCGCAAAAAATCGTCTACAGGTTCCCTGCGCGGCTCCACCACAGATGATGTGCGTGTGTGTGTATGTGTGTGTGTGTGTGTGTTTGCATTTGTGTCCGTGTGTACGTCTGCTCTTGTATCTGCCTGCTCACGGGCGTGCGCGTGCAAGCCAGCACCAACCCGGGAGGAGTGTTGCTGTTTTTCGTCCCTCACTCTGTGCTTTGCTTCTCGCGACCGCAGGCGGAGCTTGTTGTGGAGCATCACAGACGAAACATCTACACCTTCTCGGCATTTGACAAGGCCGTGGCTTGCGTCATGCGAGAAAAGGACTTTACAGGCAAACTCGCATATGTGTGCCACGCCTACAAATGCCGCGACAAGCGCAAGGTATGTGCGTGTGTATGAGATAGAGAGAGTGTCGTTCCACAGCCATTCATTCATGCACACGCTCTCATGGAGCGTGACTTGCCCCCCCCCAACCTGTACACGTCCTCCCCCCCCCAACACACACTCTCTCGCCCCTGTCATTGCTGGTGTATGCCTCCTTTGCCGATCTGCTCACTTCCTTTGCTTCAGGCACTCGAAATTGCACATCACTTGCGCGTGAGC